CTCCTAAAAAAAAGGTGGAGGAATTTAAATTCAAAATTGATTTTCTTTCTTAAAAAAGAGTCTCATTTAAAGGTAAAGTCTAAGAAGTTTTCAAGAAGCATAAAACCTACTCCAAAGTTAAATATTTGTTTCTAGAAGGTCGCCACGGATGCAAAAGTAATTGCAACATGATTTGTTCTCTTGAAAAACCTAGCCAAATGCTATTTTTAAATTTTAAGATATTTAAAGTTCAAAAAAAGTTTACAAAGAGTTAAGCAGCTGAAATTTTTAAAACTTTTTAAGTTGCATAAAAACTTAATTGTACAAGACTCTTTGCCAAAAAGAAAGTTGCAACTAATTCAAAGTTGAGACTTTGAGAGCTGCTTGAGAAAGTTTAAAAAAGACTAGTCGAGCATACCTTTCTTTTGCTAAAGAAAACAAGTCGCACCATTCTTTTTATTTTTTAGAAGACTATGCTAGCTTTTTCTTATCTCTTTAAGTGACATAAAAAAGAGAGTGACAAGTCATCACAATTCTATACATATCATCAAGTTTTGGATAAGTTAACACTTAATCTTTCCAAGATTTAATTTGCATACATTAAATTAAGCAAGTCAAATTAGTACAATAAAGATTCAAATTAAAAAGATTTTTTCATTCAAGAATCTAAGAATCTTAGCTTGGTCAAACTACAAACCAATCAAATTAAAGTTAGTCACCTTTCCCATTTTATCTCTCTAAGGTTTTTATGTAATTTTGTTCTATAAATAGCTAACTTAGCATTAGGAAAAGGCATGTTTAGGACAGACCAATCTTTTTAGTTTAGCATTTTTCTTCTTGTTTTCTTTTAAGTTTTTATTGTTCTTAAGCTTTTCTTTACTGCAATTTAAGTTCAAGTTTATTTTCAGATTCCAAAGCAATTTTGATTTTCAAGTTTAAGTTTCTGTTCTTGTTTTTTCAATTTAAATCAATTAAGTTTTACGAAATTCATGCTTATGTGTTCTTTAAAAATTAAAGTTGATTTAGTTTATATGATTTAGATGTTGTTTGGTTTTAAATGATGTTTGCATGTTTTAATTCATAAAGTTAAATCAATTTGCTTGAGTTTACTATTAATCAATTTCAGTTTTAATTCAATTAAGTTAAATTAGGTTAGTTTGCATGTTTTTAAGGCTTTTCAGCTATAGTTAAGTTAAATTAAGTCAAGTTAACTTTAATTCTTTACGGTTCATTAGATTGCATATTTTTAGAGTTGATTCAATTCTAATTTACTTAGTAAATTAAAGTTAAGTTTAATTTATAACAATTGCATGTTTTAGAATTTAATTAAGTTTAGTTTGTTTCTATTGCTTACGATTTCCTTAGTTTATGTTTATTTCATGTTCAGCTAGTTAAATTGCATAAGTTTAAGTTAATTAAAGGTTAATTGGTAATAAGTTCTGTTTTAATTTATTTTTGCTTGTTAGATTTTGGTTTTATTTGCATGTTTAATTATTTACTAAGGTTGTTGCATTAGTTAATTCATAAATTTTAGTTCTTGATTTTAGTTAAAGCATATAGTTTACATAAACTTCTATTTAGAATTGATACATGTTTAAATTGGTTTTGCATTCATAGTTTTAAATTTTAACTTGCTAGTAAGTTCGGTTTTAGCTTAATTAGAGTTGTTTGCATCTTAATTCAATTAGTTACTTATTGATTGCATTAGTTCAAGTTTGAATTCATTTTAAATCATTGTTGTTGCTCGTTTCCAAGTTTAATTGCATTATTTAGATTTTGTTTTGAGTAGTTTGCATAATAATTTATTTTTATTCTAAAATTTTCAAATATAAGATAAGTGAGTTAATTTCAATATTTGAATCACTCTATTTATAATTTTCATGGGAATGATTTTTACTTACTACTTATATGATCTGTACGCTTATAGATCCTCAATCAAATATTTATTACTAAAATATTAAAAATATCTATAATATTAATATTTTTATATTGAGAATATTTATTATAAAATAATAAAAAGTATTATTTATTTATATTTATTATTAAAATTGTAATATAAAAATTTTCATTTACATATTGAATTTATTGTATATTTTAAATTTAAAATGTTAAGTAATGATTAAAAATAACCTCATTATTAAAAAATTATTATTATAATAATATTGTTATATTAAATATTTATTATTAAAATAACAAAAATATCATTTATTATTTATTATTAAAATAATAATAATATTTTATTATTATAATATTAAAAGTATATGTTTACTAATATTTAAAATAGAAATATTTTAAATTAAAATATTAAAATATTTTTTATATTACTTTTTTAATTCTAAATATTTTTTGTAAAAAATTAAATAAATTTTTTTATTAATATTATACTATTATTTGGATAAGATAAACTTAAATTAGAGTCTAAAAAATTATTATTAAGATCTAGCTTATGTTTAACTAATCTTTCGAACTTATCTATGAACAATTTTTTTTTTTATAATTATCAGCTTAAAAAATGTCTATTTTCTTTTGAAAAAGAAATATTTTTATTGATTAAATAATTTTATGTAAAATAAATATAAAAAGTATAAAAATATTTTTAGTAGCCAATGTTTACGAAATAAATGAAATCAAATTTTATAATAAAATTTGTTCAATCTAGATCAAGTAATTTTCATAATAAAAAATAAATTATAAGGTAATATGTCATGAATCAAAATCCTATTGGATCTAAAATTTTAGCTTTAGTGATGAATATTTAATTTTTATTTATTTCTTTAAATATATATATATATATATATACAAATAATTTTATTAAGTTTGACATTCTTAAGACTTGCCACACGTCTTCCTTTTTTTTTTTTTACTTTTTACTTTTTTTTTTATTCTCTCAATTTTTAATAAAGATTTTTTTAATTTTTTTTAATTTTAAGGTGGAGTATATTTGATATTGTTTATTAAAATATATATTTTCATTTTTTTCTTTTATTTTTTCTTTTTTAATTACATAATTTTGTAAAAAAATTTCAATAAATATATCTACATAACACTCAGATTTGGCTTATTTTTACTTTTTTCTTTTTTGAGTCTTTACTTTTCTAATTTTTTAATTTTTTTTCAAGGCTATACATTAAATTTTATTTTTAATATATTAATTTAATAAAAATACTATATTTATATATAATTAGGATGTTATTTATAATAAAAAATTATATTTTTATGAAAGTTATACAAAATTAAAATTATAAAATTAATTTTGGAAAAAAATTAGATTAGATTCATATTATACACATATGTGTCAGGACAAAATTAGATATAAAAAAAATTTGATGTCGAGTTAGAGTGAAATTGAATAAAATCATTAAAATCGATCGATTTTCGGATGAGCTTAAATTCATCTTTACTCAGTCTGTTGTCATCTCTAAATGGAAGTATTCATGTAGCACCTTAATTTGACTTCCTTCTAATTTTCTTTTTTGCCCTTTTCTTAATTATTTTTAGTTTTTATCTATTTTATTTTATAATTAGATAAATTTTATAAGAAAATAAGTCACTAAAAATAAGAATGACAATAACTAGTATCTGACGGGTTTTGATCCGCCTTCATTCAATAGAGGCTTTTTTTCTTTTAAAAATAAGCTTAGGTTAGGTTAAAATGATTTTTTTTTTAAATCGGAGTCAAGTCGGAGGCGAGTTTAAGATATTTCATCACGATTTACCTCGTGATATATAAAAAATATATTATATTATTTATTTAATTTTATATTTATATACATGTATTATATTAATAACATTATTATTTAATAATTTAATTAAATAAAAATACTATATTTATATATAATTTATATATAATTATATTTAAAAATAATATTCTTATAAACATTATACTAAATTAAAATTATTAAATTTATTTCAGGTTAAATTAGGTCAAATGTGTTATACATATATGTGTCCAATCAAGATTGAATGTAAAAATATAACTTCATGTCAGATTTGAGTTGAAGTTAGATTGAATTATTAAAAAATTAGGTTTGAGTGAAAGTTAGAAAAGTATCCGCCTTGACTCGATTTGCTGTTATCTTAAGGGAATGCATGCACAAAACACCTTAATTTGATTTGCTTTCCTTTTTTTATTTTTTTTCTTGGGCTTTTTTATTTTATTTTTTTTTAAATTGTCTATTTTAATTTTTTAACTATATTTAATCAAATAAATTTGAAAGAATGAATTTTGTTTGATTTGTTATATAAATTATGAAAATAAAATACACATATTATACACAAATTAATTGATAAATTTTTATTAATCATTACATTTATTAAAAATATTATAAATTAAATTATAATCACTAATTTTTAAAATTTATCTTAAATATTTTTATTACAAAATAAAAAAATTTAACAGAAAAACCTTTTTTTTCTTTGGACAAACTTTTAATTTAAAGAAAAAGAAAGAAATGAGAATCCAATAACATTTGGTTTCCTTTATCATTTTCACTTTTTTAATACTCAATTTGGGAGAAAAATAAAAAAAAAAGTTAAAAAAATTTATTTTTAAGAAAAGATTATTATATCTATATTTTTATTATAAAATTAAATTTTATTATATAACTGATATCTTTTATAAAGATAATTTTTTTATGAGTATTTTTTTTATAATATTACAGTTTATAAATATTTTATAATTTTTCAAGTTTTAATAATAAAATAAGTCAAATTATTATCAGAATAAATTAAAAAATTAAGAATAAATCAATAATTAGCTAATATATTTTATCGTATTAGATATGTTCAATTTTTTAAAAAAAATTTATTTATACAAGTTAAATAATATAAAAATATATTAAAAATTATATGTTATTTTATTAAAAAATTATAATTAAAAAAATATTATAATAAATTATTTATTTTACTCTTCACTATTTATCCAAATAATTTTATTAAAATTTTTTATTAATTTTAATTATCCAATGGTACATATATATATATATATAAAATTTTTTTTTCCTTATTAATATCTTTCCTAACATAGGTCCAACCCAATTTACCCACGCCGCCTCTACCCACACCGCCTGTGTTTCCCTGTCTCAAAATTGAAGTTGTCATCTCCTTCCAAATTTATTTCATTTTAATCAACAAAATGTTCAAGAAGGCAGTAGAAGCGAAGGCCCAACAGAGGTTATCGGGAGCCGATAGGAAGAAGCTGAGGCGGACTGTCAGAGACAAATTTCCCAGGGCTTCTGATGCCGACATTGATGCCTTGCTCCCTCCCAAGGTACCCATATCTTTTTTCAGTTTTTATATATATATATATATATTAACCTTCTTATTTAAAATCCTTTCAACATCTTTCCTTATTAGGCTGAGATAATAGTTGCAAAGTTCCAAAATCGAGTCCATGTCTATGGTGTAGAAGGTGGCTTTCCGGTGTTTTTCGATGTGGATGGCCGAGGCTCTGAAATATACCCCACTGGTATGTGTATCTTACTTTTTTTTTTTTTTCAGTTTACCCTAAATCCTTATTATTATAAACAGAAAAAGGCTCAAGGAATTGTACTTAAATTTTAGTCTAGTGAAGGTAGTTGCTGACAATTAAGAATTTATCTTTTAGATGGTGTTTAGAATGTGAAGAACGTAGTTGGTTTCGCTCTACAAATCACTTTGTGGAGTTTAAAGGAATAGCATGTACTATCCTCAAGTATGTTTGCATGAACTTTGTTGGTTTGGATGTGCAAAAATTGCTTTGTTGGTTTCAATGGTATGGCGAGCATGTTTTTTTGTATGAACTTTACATAAATTAACATAAAGCCAAGCCAAAATAAAATTTGATGAAGAAAACTTGGTATAGACTTTGCTTGGTTGGTAGTTTTGCACTTGAGATAACTTGCTTCAATGAAACTCGATCTAAATATGTCAGTGGTGGAGGAATCATCAACCTGAATTTGAATTGAGTGAGTGTAACCCAACTTAAGACAAATATTTGCTGGATATATCAACATTTCAAAACAATAATCATAGTATACAAGCAAACTACAATTTAAGTATCATGGGGTGGAGAGCAAACAAGGTTTTAGTTATTTCTCAATGGTGATCCTAAACATGACACTAGCCATGATTATTTTTCCATGATGTGAAGAGCATTGGAATGTTAAGGATATTAACCTAACTTGAACTTTATTCAGAAACCTCAAATGGTGAAGTTCTTCATTATGTTCATATTGTATATGCAAATTTTCTGGTTTTAATAAGTTTTTATCTTAATTTCTATCTTGCAGTTTTTGCTCTCTGGAAGGTCCCTGAACTCTTACCTTCTTTTATGCTTAAGGGGGGTGAGGTTTCTCAATTTGTCATTGGAGGGGCAGATCTGATGTTCCCTGGTATCAGTGTGGCTGCTGGAGGTCTAGCTTCTTTTTCAGCTGGGGAACCATGGGCGGTGAAAGTTCCTGGCAATCCAGCACCTATTGCAGTAAGCTTCTTTTGAAAATATATCTGCTTTTCCTTTGCTGGTTCTCTATACTTTGCTTCACATTTATATTAATGTATTCAGCGTTGGTAAAAATTGATTTGTTTTATGCAGGTTGGGTCCACCACTATGAGCAGTGATGAAGCATTAAAAGCTGGTTTGCGTGGGAAGGCTTTACGGATAATGCACTATTATCGTGACTTACTTTGGCAAGTATACCTGTAACGTAAAAGAGAAGTTGATTAATGAGTGACATCATCATTGACATGCTTGTGGGATCTTTGCAGGGAATCAGTTGAGGGTCATTATGTTCCTAATGCAGGTTTCTTGGAGGATGTTGTCTTTGAGGATCCTTTATTTTTGGCATCAAATCAACCTTCTGATTCATTTGAAGGTGATACTCATGGGTCTGATGCTCAACAAAGTCACATTAACAATGAAAATATTGGGGAATCTGTTAATGTAAATGATGTTATTGCTGAAACATCTGCTGCCTCAATACAAAATGATTCCGTGAATGCTGCAAAAGAAATTACTTTGGATGCCTGTGATTTGAAGTCAACAGATAATGATGCTGCTGCCAAATCAGATATTGAGCTCTATTCGCTCTCCATTGAGGATGTTGACTCCCATTTAGACAGATGCCTTTTGCAGGCCTTGCATACAACAGTAAAGGATAAAGACCTTCCAATACCTGGAAGCACATTGTGGTAACAATACTGCAATTGATGTTTGTACACTTATTTTCCTCTACTTGCCCTCTATCTGTCACACTTTTGGGACACATGAAAGCATACACAAGCATGAACAATATTTATAAAAAAACTAAACAGTAGTTGCATCCTTTTTTTAGTCTGTTTCTATAGGCAAACAGCGATATCTAGACTGCCTACTAAAAATACAAAAAGTACTTGAAGAGTACCTGAATTATCTTCCTTGCAGGGGTAGCATTATTGTTCAGAAATTCTTGCTATGCTCAGTTTCATTGTTTGTTTTGGTTGATTCTCTTTTGCAAGTATTTTTCTATTTCGTAGGAAGAGAATTAAGGTTTTAATGAAAGGAGAAAAAATACAAATATTGTATATGAATTATATGGACACGTACAGGGCATGGTATAGGTGGATAATGAGAATAAGTTTTATAATACATTAAATAGATGCAAGTTTGCAAATATGGGGATGATACGATAAAATTTATTGGGACATGAAATGAATCAGGGTGCAAACTCTAATTACTATTATGTTTATTCTTCGCTTGGTTTTGTCTCACACTTTTCCATGGGCTTTTTGCCTCTCTTTCATTTGGGGGTTGAAAAGAAGGCAAGAATGGCATCCCTTTCACTTATTTAACATTTCTCATTGCTTCTTGGTCACGTGTTTACTTAAAACATTATTTGAAGATCCTATAAATGCTTTTTTCTTTCTCGAATTAAAGCCAAATTTGTCACTATATTTCCAGTTAATATTAAATTTAGCCATTATACTTTGGTTGATTTTTGGCATTATTCTTTAGTTTGGGGTATTTAGGACAAAATTTAATAAAAATAAACTAGTCTCTAGAATATTCCTTTTCATAATAAAATGAATAAAAAGCTGAGATAATTTTTTTAATTTTTAAAAGGTAAAAAATTTGATTTTTTTCTCCTTTTCTTCTTTTCTACTCTTTTTCCTTTCTTTTCTTCTACCTACTGCATTTGGCCAGTGTTGCCAATTAACTGTGATGCTTCAAAGCAAGTTTTGGCTAGAGAACACCAAACCCAATGATATCCCTGTCCCGTTGACTTATTTTTTTCTCTTTCTTTCTCAACTTTCCCTTATTTCTCTCCCATTTTTTCTCTACTCTCCAATTTTCCTCTTTCCAATACTGGAGTTGGCCTGCAGGTGCCAAATTGGTGTCTGAAGGCAAGATCTGACGCCTCCCTTTCATCCAGCTCTTGTCTACCTCCTCTCTCCTTACTTTTTGTGCAATATCTCTCTATCTTGGTTCTCTAGCACTCTAGATTGCTGACCTGGCTGGACAAGGCTAGATTGGCACTGAATGGCTAGATCCACCGGTGTCCTATTCCCTTTCTCACTTTTCCTTTCTCTCCTTATTTTTCCTATCTTCATTTTTGTGCTTGAGTTTCTAGACTTTTTAGCTTAGGAATTTAAAAAATTATGTTATTTTAGAAAATAAATAATTTTAATTTTAATATTCTTATTCTAACATGGCATGCAACAATGTCATTTTTCCATATTTTTTCCATTTGGCATTTGCCTTGGTTGGCTTATCTTTAAATTTTTTTATTTGATATAGATGGAATATTATGTGGAATATTCCATTTCCATTAAAATTTGACCTAAAATCACTGAAAATCAAACTTCAATCGCAAAATTCAACCAAATTAGAGTGGCAAGATGAAACTTTGACTTAAAATCAACCAAGTTATTTGACTAGGGGAGTAGACCTTTATCAATTTATTGTAATGTAAAGTTAGTCTTATTTTTACACATAGATGTCATAAACCGTTAGGGTTCTAGACCTTGTTCTTCTACTAATTGGTTTGAGCTGCATTTACCCCTTTTTTCTTCTTTGTAAACTTTCTAGTTTATTGGGTTGTTTATATATAATATATATTATATAGGTGGGGTCCACTTACACTAGTGTAAGTGTTACATATTTTTTTGATCCTTGGACAAAATAGCTAAGTATAAGTGTTATGGATATAATTTTGATCCAAGTCTTAAAAAAGTGTGTAACTCTTACACTAGTGGAAGTGGATCCTTTCTTATATATATGTATATATTATTTTGTTTGTCATAAGAAAATCATGGTTTTTTTGACATAGACTGAAGAGTACCTTATCACTTATAAATTCAAAACATTTGATTGAAATTTCATAAGCATAGAAATTTTGGGAAAGTAAATTTGATGAAATATGAAACTCCTTCTGTAATGTCCTAGTTTAAATTTTAAGTGTCAAATGTTTTCAGCTTTGACTTTATTTTATTTTAATATATTGCTAATTAAAATATGAGAAAATACTTTCTAAAAACCTTCAAAATTAATTTAATAAAATATTCTACATGTCAGTGGTCAAAGTTGATAAAGTTTGACTGTAAAACAGTAAAACCAGACATAACATATGGGACCAAGGGACCGAGGGAGTATATAAAATCTGGGATTCTGTTGCTATTATACTCTGAAGCACAGATACTTTGGAATCCCCAGTATTCTAGTGTCGTATCCATGTCCAACCTGGATGCACGTCTGACACGCTTGGATATGTATCTAGTATGGAGATACATGCCAAAAGAATATAGAAGTATTAGGATATTGTCACAACATGGCCAAGACATACCTCATGGGCTAGATATGGCAGTAAAATGAAATGAAAATTATAGCTGTCCTTCATTGGAAGGACATGCCGAAGAGAAGCAAGATAAATGTTAAGGACGGATAGACCTTCCTGTGCATCGCTCTTAGATTAGAGATAAAAGTCAATTATAAGGCAATGTGATCAACGGCTTTGCTCTCAAATTAGAGATGAAAGTCGGTTGTAAGGTGATGTGATCTAGCGAATGGAAAGAATTGTAGTGTTGCATCGTTGAACCTAGTGGTTGCTATGTGTTGAAGATGAAGAAAACTTTTTATTGTAGGCCACTAAATTGTAAAATTGGGCTGGGTCAAGTAGGCATTTGGTTAAAAGGTTTTAGAGTTCATTGGCTTACAACCTTTAAAGTATATATATATATATATATATATATGTATATTTATACTTGCCATAACGTTGTGTTCATATCTTATCAATTCTGTATTATATATATATTTATACTTGCCATAGTGTCATGTTCATTTCTTATCAGTTCTGTGTCTTGTATCTGTATATGTGCTTCCTTGCTGTTATATTGCTTAGACGATCTTGCCATTTTGTAGATGTCAATGTTATGGCCAGAAATGCTTGTAAGATTTGCTTTATGCTCATTATTGGACCAGGTATCATTATTTTCTCCAATTTCTTACTTTCTCGACTTTGTGATTGTTGCAGGTCTAACCATGTGTTAGCTTGTAGACCTTCAGGAATCACAGTAGATATCAAAAAATCATCTCATAAGAAGTTATCAAAGTGGCTACAAGCTAAATCATCTACAGGACTGGTTTGTTTCCTATATTTTCTCTTGAAAATAGTGATGTGATATTTAGAAACTAGGTCTAGTTATGCTCATTTTATTTAATGGTTTGTGTCATTATTCCATTCGGTTTTTACTCAGTTATTTGGATCAAATCTTCTTAATCTGAAGGTTAAAAAACATGCAGAGTCTGTCATTTGAGGGTTAAATGAGGTAGCATTTAGCTTTTGATTTTGCAAGTATAATTAGCCCTGACATGATTTAAAAGATGGCATTTTTGCTCTAAAATGGGATATGTACTTTAATGCCATTTTGAGTTAAAATATGTTGTGTTTGGGTTTTACATGAAATATGAAAGTAAAGTTACAATAGGAATGAAAGTTAAATGGTGTATTTTCTTTCTACAAGGTATCCACTAAGATGCTACTGAGGTTCTTTTGGTAGATGCATGATATGAAGTTACTTTGAGGATTGTCTTGTGTAGTTTTTGACTCCTTTGAGCAACTATGCTAAAATAAATTGGAAGTTTTAAGAGATCATCTCTTTTATGTGTTGGTTCAACATATGAAGTCTGTAATCAACATGTGTTTCATTATATTGAAGAAGATAAATACATGTTAAAACTCATGAATTTATTATGATCTATGCTGCATCCTTCCTTTTCTGTATGATGTATTATTGCATTTGAAAGTTGAGGTTCTAAAAGTTTAGGCATTAAAAGTGTTAAAAACTTTGAGTTTTTATGAGGTATTATTCCTTTCTTTTCCGTATGATGTGTTATTGCATCTGAACTTCTGGTTGGTTAGAGAAACGAAACTTTTTAAGAATTTTTTCTGCTTAAAAAATTTATTGTCGCCAGAGAAATTACATCCACATTTTGCCTTTCCATATGGTCTTGAAAAATCTCAAAACTCCCATAAAATGTTGAAACCAACACTAAATTTTAGTCTAGTTTCAAACTGACGAAGTTCTTCATTCATATTAAAAACATGTATGATGTAACACTGTTGGTTATAGTGGCCTGAAATTGATGCAAAAAAGAGACTCCTCAAGTTTCTAGATGGTTAAAATCATGATCAAGCAGTCAAAAACCTAAATCAACCATCGGCTTCTACCTAAAATGGGATGCTTTGTATTTTTCTGTTAATTATTTTATTTTTCATTTCAAAATCATTGTCAATTCTTTAGCAGATAACAATAAAGGAAGACAAGTACAAAAAAGAAGCTATGTTAATATCTGTTAACCGCAGTCACCCAGATTACTTACCATTCAAGCCAGAAAAGCGACCAGTAGAGAAAGTTGATCAGGCTGCTGATTGTGCTGCTAGTGAATGCTGTTCACAAAAGGTGCTTGAAGTGGTAGAGGTCTACAAGTCAAGTGTGCATGTTAATTCCATTTTTGCTTCTGTTGGAGCTGACACTGGGAAACTTTACTCAGCTTCTGAAGCTTCTGATATAGTCTTCAAGTACATTGAGAAAGAAAATCTGGTGAAGCAAACAGAAAAAGCCATTGTGGTTTTAGATGCAACTTTGTGTGATGCATTATTTAAGGGAGCCATCAAGAAAGGATCAACATATCCAACTGAGATCCACAAGAAAGATTTAGGAGCAACATTTATAAGCCGTATGCAGGCCCACCACATTGTGACCAGAGGAAGCGAGTCTGTTGTGCGTAAAGGTGTTTTGAAAACAGTTCATATAATGACTGAACGAAGGCAAGGGAACAAAAAGGTGACAAAAGTTTCAGGTTTGGAAACTTTCCTCATTGATGCTGAAGCATTGGCATCAGAGCTGCAGAAGAAGTTTGCTTGTAGTACAACGGTGGTGGAATTGCCAGGTTGGTTTTTCTCTTTATTTTTTGCAATATCTAACCATATTATTAGGTGTACAGTATAGAAATAGTAGAGCTGTTCATAGGCTTGGCTACCGGTGCAAGTGCAGCACAAAGACAATTACATATAAACATATAACTTGACATATCTTCCAAAATCTTCCACTATTTCTGTAGGGTGTTTTGAGATAAATATCTCTCTAGCTTCTTCATATGGGTTATCTGCACCATCTCTTATTGTTTCACACGCTCTTAACTTTTCTCCATGATCAATTCCTTTTTTCTTTCAAAAGGACAAAATCATCAGTGGCATTTGCCTCCACTCATTGTTTCACACCAACTTTAACTTTTATCCATGAGTTATCTCATTGTCATTTCTTTTAAACAAAAAGGAAAAGAAGAATTATGATTGGCATTGGCTTGCACGTCATCAAATTATGACCTTCGATTAAATTTGTTGAGCTAGACCCACCAACTTGAAAAGTTGCTTGTCAGTCTGAAGCGGATTCAAGGATTGGAGATCAAATGAATGTTCCAATATTTTTTTCTATCTTTCCATGTTTCTTTTTGAACATTCTCATTGTTACGTGCATTCACTCGCAATTTAAACAATGACATGAATGCAAGAAAATGCATTGTTTTAGTGTACTGAGAGTCTGAGACGTAATTGGATTTCTCTTATAGGTAAGAAAGGGCATGAAGTTCTTATTCAAGGTGGTGTGATTGATGATGTTGCAAGACATTTGCTTGAACAATATGGAATCCCAAAGAGATACATTGAAGTTCTTGATAAAACCAGGAAGTGATAACTGGTTAGTTTCTTTTCTATGAAGTACGTCCTTTTTAACTTGTTAGGACAAAGTTGCTCATGTTAGGTGCATGTGTTTTGTTTATCTAATTTGTAAGCATGTGTGTATATATGTGTTGCTGTTGTTGTTATTGTCGTTTCTTTCTCCCTTCTCCATTTTTTCTTTTAGACTAAGTTAGCGTGGGAGGTAAGTTGCTTGTTTGATAAAACTAAAACTAAACACTTAGCAACTAAGTATTGCTTATTAATTTTGAATACATGAGCATTAGTTAACAGAACAAAATTAGTTAGTCCATTTTGAAACTTCAAATAATAATAATAATAATAAGTAAACCGAGGTTTTGCAACACTTATAGCAACAATGGTGCTCCTACCATGGCCCTATTGCCACAAAAAGTGTGTTCCGCCCACCACCCTATTTTTTGTCTTTTCTGATTTTTCTCTTTTAGTCTTTTTTTTTCCTTATATCTGTCCATTACCTTTTGATATTGTGGAATGGGGTGATTTCAACCCAGCTTTTTGAGCAAGATAAGATCTTGTCTGCTGAACCATTGAGGTAAATGCTCAAGTGCTTTTTTACATTTTACTTATTTGCTTTTCTATCACTTTGTGATGTAGGACAGCTTGGAGGGCTAGGTTTTATGATAATAATAGCTTAAAATTCTTGATAAAACAGGGAAAATTCAATGGAAAAGGAAAGATTCTTGAGCTTCGGTCCTAGGGGATAGGGTTCCTTGATTGCTTCACACTACCAAGATGAATAAACGCTAAGCATAGCACTTAGGGTTCCTTAGGAGTCACACCTAAGGTTTACCGCGATAGACAATCACAATAGAAATATAGCAATAATGCTTAAAACTCTCTTATCATAATCTGTCTCCAAAAGAAAGAGCACATTGATATTTATATAGGCTACAACTCCTATTTCAAAAACCGAACTTTAGACTCCAAGTAGAAAACTCACAAACTTGACTTAAAAATCAATATCTAATAGGATAAGGATAGCCAAACTATTCTGTACTAAATCCTATTGTAAATGTAAAATACCAAATATAATCCTAAATCGATAAAATATTACAGTCAAACACCATAAATACAGTAAAGTGGCAAAATAAAAAAAAAAGTTATGGCTCACTTGTCTTCTTAGCATATTGCATCACTTTGTTAACATGGACTTTTTTCTAATATTTTAATTTCTCGAATTAAATTGTTAAATAAGGGTATGAGTATAATGAAGTAGTGATCCTTAACCTTTGAACATGCTTAATTTTAATTGCGATGTTTTTTAAATCATCAAAATTTTGTCTTTTTTGTTAGATAAAATGGCCACATGGACGACCGCCTTTTGAACACATGGGAATTTAAAGATATCTAGATTCTTAAATGGAATAATTGAATAGTTAGGGACCAAAATGAGATTTTATTAAATGGCTATGGACTTACTGTGTGCTTTACTTAATATTGTGATGGTATTACAAGTTTTGTTATTATACTATTTTAATAATAATAATAGTTGCAATTTTAGAAGTATTAGTTCAAGTGAATTTATAAATAGGTCATAACAATCAATATTTTTATCTAATTAACAATTTAATTTAAGAAATTTGGGGAAAAATTCTCTAAGTTTTAGGTTTGCTTTATTTGAGCGCTTAAATTGTAATGAAGCTACCATGAAGCATTTGCGCATGGTTTCTACTATGGTTTGTGGTTTCTTTTGATCAACTATGTAGATTGCAATTACCTTTTAAGGATTAAAATGAACTTTTAAGAGACTAGTACCTTTCTTTGCGGTGCAGGAGTAAAAGACCTTAATTGGTTGTTGGATGATCTCAGATTCATTATTGTACAATTTATTAGACATAGGAGATACCTAACGTACAAACAATTTAGTTGAGCCAAGGAAAATAGATCAAGGATTAGAAATTAATTTGTTATTTAAATACTATAACTGTATACCTCAGGAACAAATGAAACTACTCTTGTGAAATTTAATTAACTTAATTCTCGGGTTCGTCATGAAAAATTGGAGTTCCTTTTGAATTTCCTTCTTGAACAATGAAAACTACAGCATTCTCATCTACAATGTTTTGTTATAGCATCTAAACTGCCTTGGATTTAGGGGGACAACACAACAAATAAACATCCATGGAAGTTGCCTTATTGACTCCCAAAACAATACTATAAGAAGTGGTACTAAAGATCCCTTTTGTAATTGTACATGCATTCATAGCAATGTCATACTTAGATTTGGCCATTTCTTCATACAATCTCTTTAAAGATGGATCCGAGAAGTTAGTGTTCCTCTTCAAACCATTATAGAGAAAATTCATTATTTCTACATGGAGTTCAAACTATCTATGGGCTTTTAAACACCAATGTAGTACTTTTTCTCCATCAATAACACCTACCCATAATCTTTTTCCAAAAAAAAAAAAAAGAAGAAAAAATTGGATTTTGTGTGATAAGTATTTTTCTTTTTTTAGAATCCAAACATTTATCTATCCATGCCATAAGCCATCAGCCATAAGGTCAGCACCTATTCTTCCAATACGTATATAATTATTTATTTCCTCTTGACCAAACAAACGAAAGGATAGAAATAAAGTAGTTTTTGTTTCAATGCTTTCTTTCCTTTTTTCCTCATACCAAACACATTGAGTACATATTGATGAGGAACTTTGATAATTTCAAGATTTATAAAATGAAAAGATGTTCGATTGTATCTATTTAAAATAATATCATTTATAATTGTATTGTTTAGATGAGAAACATTTTACAATGAAATTGCATGTTGAAATTTGATGAGATGAAGAAATTGTAAAATAATAAAGAAATAATGATGTTAAGGGTGGGAAAAATATAAAATGGAGAAAAATATGGAATAAGGATGCATTGGATTTGTAAAGAAATGTATGGATATTTTACTAGTAATGACTTGAAAAAATCAAGAAATATTTTTAAAAATACCAAAAAAATCTCTAGAATAAAATTATTTTATTCTTCTATATTTTTCTTATTACAATATTAGAATTGCATGAAAATATATAGGCTAAAGATTGAATATTCTCAGCCTTAAAACTCAAGATTTTCATGCGTTAAAACAATTAATCAAAGGAGAAATTTATTCTGAAAATAAGAGACTTAACTAAAATAGATAAAGTCAACTAATCAAGTAATAATGAAGATTAGATTTTCACACTCTCTCTCAAGCTGGGTGGTAGATGTTAATCATGCCCAACTTGAACTTCAAATGCTTGAAGCTGTTTTGAGAGAGACCTTTAGTATGTCTGTAGTTTGGAGGTATGTGGGACTATAAATTAATCTAACAATTTCTTCCTTTATCTTCTGTTTGATGAAGTGACGATCAATCTCCACATGTTTATTCCTATCATGATGAATAGGATTTTTTGCTATACTTATGGCAGCTTTGTTGTCGCAGAATATCTTTATGGATTCTTGTGCAGAGACCTTTAACTCCTCTAGCAACCTTTTTATCCAAATTATCTCACATATGCCATGAGACAGCTCTAAACTCAGCTTCCGCGCTATTTCTAGCCACCACATATTGCTTTTTGCTTCGCCAAGTAACCAAATTTTCCCACACATAGGTACAATAACTAGTAGTTGATCTTCAGTCAATAACAGGTCCAGCCCAATCAACATCAATGTAAATTTCAACATTTCGGTGTGATGTCTTTTTAAAAAATAACCTTTTGCTAGGGCTCTTCTTTAGGTATTGTAAGATTCGATACACAGCCTTCAAGTGTTCCTCCGTTGGGTTGTTCATGAATCCGCTTACCATGCTAACCAAAAAATTGATATTTGGTCTTGTATGAGAGAGGTAGATGAGTTTCCCTACAAGTCTTTGATATCTGCCTTTATCTATCGATGGACTTCTTCCATTCTTACCTTATTCATTGTGTCCATAGAGGTGTTAGCAGGTTTGCATCCAAGCATTCCAATTTCCTTTAGTAAATCTAGCACATACTAATGCTGTGAAATAGAGATGCCGTTCCTTGAGTGAGCTACCTTCATGCCAAGAAAATATTTGAGGTGTCTAAATCTTTGATTTCAAATTCTTTGGCTAGGAGGTTCTTAAGGTTGCTAATTTCTTTCACATAGTCTTCAGTAAGAATAATGTCATCCACATAGACAATAAGGATGGTTATTTTTCCTTCAAGTGAATATTTGACAAACATGGTGTGATCAGTCTGGCATTGTGAAAAATCATACTTTTTTACCACTTTTGTTAGTCTATCAAACCATGTATGTGGGGATTGTTTGAGACCATATAAAGACTTTTGAAGTTTACAAACCTTGCTAGAATTGTCCTAGTTTTTGAATCCTGGAGGGATTTCCATGTAAACTTCTTATTCTAGGTCGCCATTAAGAAATGTATTTTTGACATCTAGTTGGTGGAGTGGCCAATCTAGACTTGCTGCCAATGATAATAACGTCGGGATTGAATTAAGTTTAGCAACCGGAACAAATGTCTCTTTATAGTCAACACTATAAGATTGAGTAAATCCTTTTGTTACAAGGCGAGCTTTAAATCCGTTAATACTTCCATTTGCACCAAACTGGATTTTTACCTTTGAGTAATTCTGAAATCTCCCATGTTTTGTTCTTTTCTAGGGTCTTGATTTTCTTTCAAAATAGCTATCTTCCATTTTGGTTGCATGAGTGCTTCATAAATATTATTGTGAATCTGCATATTGTTTAGTGTGGTAACAAAAGCCCGATAACTGGGTGATAAACCTTCATAAGAAACCACATTACAGATTGGGTGTTGAGTACATGATCTCACACCTTTCCTTAGAGCAATCGGTTGATCAAGATCATTAAAAGATTCAATTAAATCAGATTCAGTAAGAGTGTTACCAGTGTTGGTTCAAGTATCTCTGGAATCGGTTCAGATTCTTAGCTTTACTTTGAAGGTGTACATTCTCCTAGATCATTAAATTTTGTTGAAAAGATTCGTCAGCCATCTTATCCTAATTTCACCCAAGCATTTCCAAACTTCAATCGAGATTCCATTAGATCCTATAATTGTTTTTTGCTTTCATCCTTTTCAAAGCCTTTTTAATCTCATGCCTTTAATATTTTGTTTAAACATGATTTATATCTTTAAAAGTTATGTTAAGCCCAACAATGTTATGCTCAAAATTGCCATTAAAGAGATTATTAAAATAATCTCTCCATCTCTTCTTAATCTCATCTTTCACCAAAACTCTTTCGTAATCGCCTTTGATGCATCTTAGCCATTAAGATCCATACTTTTTTAATTCCTCATTTTAGTAATTTTGAACGACTCTTTTTGTCCATCTCTTATCTTTAGTTTTCTACATGATTCCTCATGGATCCTAGTGTTTGAATCTTGAATAGCCTATTTGGCTTTCTTTTTTGTTGTCTTATACTTTAGATAACTTGTCTCATCCCTATTGTTCCTTAAATTCCTATGACACTCCTGCTTAGCTTTAATAGTTATTTTCACATCCTCATTCCACTACCAAGATTTTTTTTTTCCTAGTAGTGCATGACCCCTAGATTTGCCAAGTGTCTCTTTAGCATCCCTTTGATTCTGGTAGAAATATTTTTTCGCATTACTTCTACTTATCAACTTTCTAATCAACTACTTTTACCAATTTATCCTTAAAAGCTATCATTTTATCCCCTTCTAGTTGCACCACTTAATATGTGGTTTATGACTTTGACGTATCCTTTTTGACCCCCAGAAGTGAAAGATATCTAGAACTAGCTGTCTGTGTTGTGTTATCACACTCTCACTTGATATAACCTTGCAATCTTTGCCGCTACTTATATCCTTTTTCCTCGTAAAAAAGAAGTTAATTTTACTAGCATTTGACCAACTCCTAAAAGTCACCAAATGTGATTCTCTTTTCCTAAAACATGTGCTTAATATAGTTAGGTAAAATGCAGAAGCAAACTCTAGAATATTATCTCCTATACCGTTTCTTTCTCCAAAGCTATATCCTCCATACACCTTTTTAAAGTCACTATAATCCTTGCTTACGTGACCATTCATGTTTCCTCCAATAAACAACTTTTTTCTGTTTAGTATAGCTTGCACTATCTCATCTAGATCTTCTCAAAATTTTTGCTTACTCATCTAATTGAAACCTATTTGCGGGGCATAAACACTAATGATGTTAATAGTTTCCTGTCCTAATATAAGTTTAACATGTAAAATTCTCTCTCTTTCTTTCAACCTCAACTACATCATATTTTTAATTCTTATCTACAATTATCCTTATTCTATTTTTTACTCTTTTCCTTACTTGTGTACCAAAGTTTAGAGTTCCATGTTTCTATCTATCTAGCTTTTTCCCCTACCCATTTAGTTTCTTGGAGATACATGATATAAATTCCTCTCCTAATCATGATCTCTCTTATCAATACTAGTTTACCAGTTAATGATCCTATATTTCAAGTAGCTAAGTGTAACTTATCCTCATGGATTAGCTTATTTACTCATATTTGTCCATTAAAACACGAGAGCCCTTGCCTATTTGACACCACACCCGGGCAGCAATATGGCGCGTTGCTTTCGGGTGACGACTTAGCTACCCTTGCCCATTTAACACTACACCCAAGCTTCGATGTAGCATGCTGCTGGGAGGAAATGACCTAATGAAAATTCTTATTTTGGTCTCTCGTTATGGTTTGACTATGTTTTACGTTGATGTCATTCTATTGCAATCCTCCTCGCTTTATCAGGGCTTGGCACCAGTAATGTGATAACACACAAGCAGAGTTTAATAGAGTTATTGTATATAATATAAACCTTCTCTTCCGATTTTGACAAAAAGTTAATGCAAAATGGAAAGGTAAAATGAATATGTAAGTTGGATATTCCATTTAGACCTACACGATGTGGACTCCTATAGGTGTTAAGGTAATACACTAGCCCTATGTTCACAGAATTTGATGTGTTGAAATTCTACTGTACTCTTTGGTAGTATCGTCTTACCATCAGTCCTTGTTTAGGAGGTTTTGCCTATGTTATTATTATTATTTTTTTAAGCACCCGAGTACTAACCTCTTGTCAAATACCAATGCCAAATGTTTTCTATTGACTTGATACTAGGACTTGAGATTGTCGTAATATTTGGTTCTTCAGCAAAACATGCAGAGGTATGTATTGAATGTCTGGCTTATATGATCTGTTCATGTTAACATGATGCATGTTGAAGTGTTTTATCCAAGGTCTTTTTAAGCTTTCATTGTAATATAGATGCATGTTGATACTGATCTTTTTGTTCCTTTATATCCATATATCTATATGTTGCATATTTATATGGAAGGAAAAACCTGAATTGATTGGAAACTTTATACTCCTTCCAGGTTTGCGAGTTAATATTTTGATGGGTGAGATATTTACAGTTACAGTTATCATCGTGGCGCTTGATGCAACTGCAAATGGGCTTGATGTGTTTCGTCATCCTTTTCCCCTAATCCTTTTTCCGTTTTCATGAACTGCCTTTCTACAAGGGAAAAAAAGGGTGTAGAGGGTTTCTTTTCCAATGCTTACATTGTAGAGGGTTTCTTTCCAATGCTTACATTTTTGAGAAGTTGCACATATAGCTCTTCTCTCTCGGTCTTTCTGCAACCAGTTAAGCTGCTATATATATCAACTTTATTTTGTGATTCAACTGTAATGAAAAGCTTGGAATATCAGTACACCATCTTTCTTAAACATAAATCTAACATGAGCTTAGCTGTTGCATTTTATATAAAGACAACCTCTAGTATGATTTAAGTGGTTTGCTGCGTTTCCTATTTGTAACCGAGTTGGCTTTTGTTACTACAGCGTCAACATGAAGGGTATTAGAATATTAGGTTTAGTTGGTCTATCTATTGTTGGCCGTTCTCTGCTTCTGATTTACGCTCAATAATTTTTATTGTTCTTCTAAAGCATTTTTTTTTTTTTTATTTCTTTTGTTTTCTAAATACTCTACTCTTGCTCTGTAATTGTACAATCTCCTACGCGTAGGGATTTTGTGCATATATAATCAAAGGAATTGATTTTTTTTCCCCGAAATCAATTCATTTATATCACGTTTTCAATGCTGGACTTTTATTTACGATGGTATATTTACATTTTTCTAACATTTTTTTTCTTTTTTGAATAGAAAAAGTATGTTGTGCACGTAAAATTATAAGGAAAAAACGTAGTGCATGGTGCTCGTGGAGGGATAATCCTGGACAAGTGTGTAAGTATTGTTAATTTCAAATTTTAACACAAATTTATGAGTGTGTCACAAAGAACTTTTATTTAAGGGTGATATGGAAATATGTCCGAAGTAAATTACAAAATGGAAAGTTGCTAGGTATTTCATTGAAGCCGCTAAGTTCGATCTATATTAGTATTTAAATATGTATAAAGTGAAGTGGATCCAAATTTATTATTACATTTATGTAAATATTACTTATTTTTTTGAAAAAATAATGCATATTCATTTACTGATAATTCACATTTGAATAAGTTACGATAATTTCATGCATGAAAGCAAGGTAGTCTTCGACCCAGTGCAATTTTTCATATAACTCCAATCCATGTACTACCAATCTATGCGCAGCAACATTCCTTGTTCTTCTAATATGCTGTGTTGTGCATCATGTAGTTCTCTTATTTTCTATCGTGCTTCTTCAATTATTAAACCTGTAGGAGACATATTTTTAGTCCATGATCGGAGCTTGTTGATGATCATCAGTGCATCTTTTTCTAGCTCAATTCCTTATCCTCAGATCCCTTGCAAAGTCCACAGCACGAACTGTTGCTGCAACTTCCATGGCGAAAAGGTTCGTCATCTAAGGTAAACCTATCACTATGGGCTCCCAATACTCTACCTTCCTCATCCCTAATTGTCACCCCTATCCCTCCTTTTCTTTTTGCCTTAACCACGGCTCCATCAAAATCCACCTTGATGGTGCCTCTTCCTAGAGGTCTGCATTGCCCTGCTTCCGCAATACTCATTCCCATTTGTTTCTGGTGTACCTTATTAAATTCCTTCACATACTTCCTTGTGAAGCTAGCAACATTTTTTGTTTCCTTTCTTTTTTCCCCGCGGTAATCATAGTTTCGATCATTCCAAATTATCTACATTCTAACCATGAATGTCTGCAGTTTCTCTCCTGTGGCATTAGTGATTACCTCAGAAAACTAGTCTAGTGCCAACAATTCCCATTTTCTTCCTCGTTCCACTGGAAACTTAATTTTTCCCAGACTCCCTTTGCCAAATGACACTCTTTTACTGCATGTAGAACTATTTCAGGGTTTTGATTACATCTCTGGCACATAACCTCCTCTGGTATTCTTTTTTTTGCCAGATTTGTCATTACAGGGAGAAAACCCTTCCCCACTTTCCATGTTAACACCTTAATTTTTGTTGGCATTTGTACGTCCTATATCCTTGTACATACTTTTTGTCTTCCCCTTATGTCTTCATTGTTTTCTTCTGTTGATCTATACTCTTGTGATAGCTTACATAATAGCTTGTAATCACTTTGCACAGTATACTCCGCCTTGTTGTCAAAATGCCATACTAAAGTGTTTGGCCTATCTAGTTTGCTAAGGGGGATTGCACATGCTTCCTCACTTGAAAACATCTCGTGTATCATATCTCATTTCCACGTACGGGTATTCTCCTCAATTAAATCTACCTCCAATGTCTCATAATTATGGTTCCTTGGTGAGTAAGGCGTTAACAGAGGAGAGGATGGAATCCATTTATCAGTCCAAACACTAATTGACTGACCATTCCCCACTCGCCACCTTAGGCCTTGTCGTAGAACTACCTTAGTTGCCTATATGCTAGTCCATGTGAGTAGGGGTGTGATCCTACTTTGGAATCAAGGAAAGAAACATTTGGGAAGTATTTGTCTTTCAAGATTCTATGAGCTAGAGTGTCAGGATTCGTTAGAATCCTCCATTCCATTCTTATTTTGCTAAAAGGGCCCTGTTGAACTCCCCCATCTCTCTAAACCCCATACCTCTATCTTTTTTTTGCCTTTACCAATTCCTTCCAATTCTGCCAGTATATTGTTCTTAACTCCTTATTGTTTCCCCACCAATAATTGTTAAGCAATTTATTGATCTCTTCACATAGTGTTTTTGGAAGAAGAAAGCAACTTATTGCATAAATAGGAATTGATTGAAGAATGGATTTTATGAAGACCTCCTTTCCCCCAAATGACAACAATCTCTGACATCTTCCATTCATACTTGCCCTTATTCAGTCCTTTAGGCCTGTAAAAGCCCTTCTCTTGTCTTTTCCTACCATTGTTGGCAGACCCAAGTACTTCTCTACACTTGTCTCATTCACACCAAACATTCTCCTTATCTCCTCCCTTCGTCTTTCTCTGGTGTTGTTATTAAAGAAAAGGGCCGATTTGTCAAGATTTATTTTTTAACCCGATCTTTCTTCATATCACTTTAGTACGTCCATCACTTTCTCACTTTCACCTCTATTAGCCATTGCAAGTAGGAAACTATCAATTGCAAAGAATAAGTGATCAACTTGAAGTCCATTTTGGCTCGCCCGTACTCTATGTAGCAACCCCTGATCTTGGAACTTCTTTACTAAGGCAGAGAGACTTTCAGTACACAAAAGAAATAAATATGGTGATAGTGGATCTCCTTGATGGAGACCCCTCTCAGGAAATATTTCATTTGTGAACCCTCAATTGACCATAATCGAATATGAGACAGATCTTACACAATTCATTGCATTAAAGATCCACCTATCTTGAAACCCCATCCTATCCATTATTACCTCTAAGAAACTCCACTCCACCTGATCATAAGCCTTGCTCATGTCAATTTTTAAAGCAAAGAAACCCTTTCTCCCATGTTTCTTGTTCTTAAAATGGAACATAAGTTCGTAGGCAACCAAAATGTTATAAAAAATTAATCTACTAGGAACAAAGCACTATGTGTTTCACTAATACAATGCAGGAGAATAATCTTAAGCCTAAAACTTTTAAGATGATTTTATAGATCACATTACATAAGCTAATAGGCCTAAATTGGGTTATGTATTTGTGATCCTTAATCTTAGGGATTAAGACAATATTAGTTTTGTTGATCTCAGATAAGTTCCTTTCTCCCCTAAGGCAAGACAAACAAAAATTGGTTACATCTCTTCCCACAATATGCTAATATTTGTGGAAAAATAAAACAAGCACACCGTCAAGACCAGGTAATTTGTTTGGACTCATCTGTTTGACCACTCTGTGAATTTCCTCTTCAACGAATTCTTCGATAAGGAGATTATTCATCTCATCAGTGATGCAAGGTTCCACAATTCCCAGTACATCATCAAAATTTGATGCATTATTATACTGGAAGAGCCCCTTGAAATATCCAGTAGCTATCCTTACAATGCGATCTTTTTCATCACACCATTCGTCATTTTCATCCATTAACCTCATAATCAAATTTGTCTTTTTCCTGGTTGAAGCATTGGCATGAAAGAAACCTGTACTTATATCCCCCACTTTAAGCCATTGTATCCTCGACCTTTGTCTTCAATAAGCCTCTTCCTTTTCAAGCCAACTATTAAGCTCTTCCCTTGTTTTAGCCTTTAATTGATCCTTATTTTGTAATGACAAAACATTAAGCTAAATAAGTATGATTAAGATTTTGAAAAAAATTTATTTAGTACATGTTCTTAAGTTTTACATTTTGGTACTGAATAAATAATATGATTTTCAAAGTTAAACAAACCTTTCTTTATGTTTTCTTATTTCTCAAATCTAAACTATCTTTAAACATTATTTATTTGAACTTAAATGTCCAAATGTTGTTTTTAAAGTAAACTTATTCATTTTGGATTCAATACAATTTTGATAATATTGGTTTTGAGAAATTTATTAACTTACAAAAGTTGTTTTATAAGAATAAAGTTTTCAAACACTAAACTTGTTTTATTTTTCTGTGTTAATTCATAAAGATTTAATATTTAAATTTTATATGGTTGGAAAGCTCTTTGAGTTTACTTTCTAATGGATCAAACAAAATCAAAATCCAAATTTTTTAAGAAAAGATTGAATTTTTACTAGACAGTTTGTAGTTGTCTAAAAACTTCACAAAGGGTAGTTTTGAAAATTCACTATAATTCGTATACAATGAACTAGTTGATAAATTTTATATGGCTAGTAAGCCCTTTAAGTCTAGTTTCTAAATCTTCAAACGGTTTTTGATTTGGAATTTTATAACTCAAGACGTGATCAAATTAGTGAGTGGAGTGCAAAACAAGAGACAACCACCCAGCTTGATCAAATCAATCCCATCCCTGTAAGGATCAATTGGTTAGTGTTTCAGAATGACCCGATCAATCCCTCATTTAAGGGATCGATCCATTTTTTATACAAAGAGTTTTTTGAGTTTAAAACATGTAAAAGGGATCGATCCCCCACATAGGGGATCAATCAGTTAGGTAGGGGATCGATCAGGTCTTTTACCTGATCGATTAGGCCTGCCCAGAGATGTGCATAACGGCTAGTTTTTCAAGCTTCCAATGGGCATTTCTTCGTCCAAACCATCCCCAATGCCTAGTTCTTCAATTCTTCTATAAATTGGGCATTCCAACACACCAAGAAGATTGTGAATCAAGAAAGCAAGAACCAACATGCAATATTTTCGTTTTCTCAAAGAATCAAGAGTTGTTAGAGCTTAAAAATCCATATCTTTTGTATTTATTGTATCCAAATCATATTTGTTGTTCATT